CACCAAGATGGTTTGGAGCATTCTTAGTCACAATGTGCCATAAACAAAGCCGATGATAAGCGTTAGGAAAAATAATTTTAATCACATTAGCCATTGCTTAGTCTTGATTAGTAAAAATGACAGCTGGTGCTTTCCCTCCCATAGATACCAAGAATGACTTAAATAACCATGTAAAAGAAGATTCGGTTTCATCCAATAAAAATGCACATCCAAACATGATATTTTTCCAATAATGATTAACACCAATAAATGAAGCACACACCAAGTCATATTTGTTTATGCGATACGTTGTGTCAAAAACAACAACATCACCAAAAAAATCATAATCAATGAATTACTTCCCATCCCTCCAAAAAACATTTATCATTCTATTTTCTTGATCCACTTGCATGTCATAAGAAAACATCGAGTCTTCACTTTGCTTCTTCTTAAAATGATTAATTAAGCTTTGTGCATCACCGGGCTCAATCAACCTTATTTTTACTTTACCAATAAAGTTATAACAATCTCTCTTAGTCAACCCAAGGTGCTCACTACCCCTAACTTCTCTCACCATATAAGCAAAATCATCCCTCGTTCTTATGTCGACATTAACCATTGTGCTAATAATATTAACCTTTAGAGTTGTTAATGCTCTATTTGATCTTAATAGGTGAGCTTCAAAAGGTGAAGCTAGTTCGTGATTATGTATTGAGACAAAGTGTGTGATAACCCATAAACCATCTTTAATTATTAATTTGATCATTGCTTTACAATCACTTTTTGTTTCAAATCTATTACGTTGATTTGTTGAGAGGGAATCCGTTTCAACTTTACCAGCTTTGGAACATCGAAACTCCCTTTGACGAATTGCATGAGACTTTCCATTGCTATATCGAAGCTTAGAACGTCTAACACTGAAACCCGTTCTAATATCATACTCGTTATGAAAATTATACGCTTCTTCCTTGTTGTTGAATACTTTTCCCATAAAATTATCACACTCATTGTGACTTCTATTGACATAAAGAGCATTCTCCTCTATAATCACATCATCAACATTAACTTCGGAGCATATGCCTACACAAGAAAAACAAATAAGGAAGAAAACAAATATGTAAATTAAATAATTCCAAACTTAACCAATTAAAAATATATTTGTGAACTCTACCTTGGGTTTCGTTGTAAGAATCTTTCATTTTCAATTTGCAACCCTTTTTCTTGTCTCTTCGCTGCTGTCGATGCTCACGAGAAAATAAAAAATTCAAGGCAATTGCCGATTTTTTTTATTTTGAAACTAGACTTCTAATTTTTTATGTCCTACTATCAATGGAAGTATAAGAATATGATGAGTATCATATTTAGATTTCTCATTATGCTTGTATAAAGAAATAGGGTAATTGAAAAGTAAACAAAAGATCCATTGTAAATCGGTGGCGATACCTAATTCGGACTTTGAAATTAAAGCAAAGCAAACGAGTGCGGAGTTTTCAATATTTATTCATGAGGGATGGGAACCAAACAATCATGAATTTCTTCTTGATAAGAACATGGGATGGAACTAATGAGAGAGGGGAGGGAAAACGCAAAAGAAAAAGCTCCTGTGACATAAGTCAAATTCATTTTCAAAATTATTCACACAATTTTGGGATGGTAATTCGTCTCCCTCTCTCTCCCTTAGTTAAATGACTTGGGATTGTATTTTCGTGAAGCGTGACAATTCCCCGGTATGTTCTTGTCACCATGAATAGACAACCATAGCTTTGCATATACACTCCTTAGTGTTTCTTGATAGAAATAGGGGATGGACCTAATGAGAAAGGAGAGGGAAAACGTAGAAGAAAAAGTTTCGCGACATAAGTCAAATTCATTTTCAAAATTATTCACACAATTTTAGGATGATAACCTTTCTTTCTCTCTCTCCTCTTAGTTCAACGATGCGAGAGAACTTATTAGCTTACAACGACGTAGAGACCACGAAAGACATCAAGAGAGGCAACACGTAAGGGTTTCTTACTAGTCCGCGATTGTTCTTCGATGTCTAGCAATGGCTTTGTGTAATAAGTCTACCATTATTTAGAAGAAAATTGTGTGGAGTGACCTTCCATTTGAATGTCTTTTAGTAGCGATAACAAGGTTATCTCGGCTTCCATTGCTTGCTGGAGAGTTTGAGGATCTTCGAGGACATGACGGATAATAGTAGCAGTAATATTATCAAATCCGGAAAAGAGGCTACTTGTTGGCAAGCAAGGAAGGAGAGAGAGCTCGTGGAGGAAGATGAAAGTCTTTCCCGGCACCTAGAGAGAGAGAGATGGCGGAGGAAGGAGAGAAGATGAAGAGTTAATTTCTTTTATTTAATGGAAGGTTTTTTTTTTTTATCCTACATGTAAAAAAATGTTCACATGGCGGATAATCAATGGAAGGGGTCCTTATCGATGTGGAGTTCCAAGACTCTTGAATAATTTCTCATAATAACAATGACATACAAGTTTCCATCGCCCCTAAACAAATTATACTCAATATAATGAAAACAATCACACATCTAATGTGATTATGAAATCCAATTGACACTAATCAATATAGTTAAAAAGGTAGCTCCGACATCATATGAAAAATGAATTAAATATATCCAAGTATATAATTGTACTACAAATTAATAAAATACATAACTTATGCAATAACTGAGTAAGTGTTCCAAGAGAAATTGGTACCGTCAAGGAAAAAAACCTCCTAGTCTATACCATCATGTGTGTTGATGAATAGCACAAAATTTTAAATAATATTTAAATGGCTAAACTAAGGAATTAATTTTTGCACTTACATCTAACAAGGATGTGTCTAATCTATAACTAGAATTCAATGGAATTTAAAGTTTTAATTATCGTTTATAAATTTTATTCAAAATAAAATATATAATAAAATATAATATTAATTTAAAACAATACATAATATATGTTTCACACTAAAAGATATTTCTTAGTCTTTTATCAATGACTTTAAATAGGCAATGACAAGTTCCATAAACTCTAATGGCAACCTAAATTAAGAGAATAAATTCACAAAAGTCATCCAAATTTTAAATTAAGAGTAAAATTTTGGGATAATTACTAAAAACACCTTATAAAAAAATCTTCTATCTAAAAAACACACAAATTTATTTTTAAATCTCTCAAACCCAAAATAATATTTTTCTTACCAAAACACCTAATAATTAACACTAGTGTTAACTATTGATTGTTTTGGTAAAAAAAATAATATTATTTTAGGCTTGTGAGACTTAAAAATATTATTTTGTGTTTGGGAGATTTAAAAATAAAATAGCAAATTTTTTAGAAGGTATTTTGGTAACTATTCCCAGTTTAAATAAAACCATTATCTTTCAAGATATGTATTTCTATCATGGATGTTCATGTTTTATTTAATTAATATACTAAAATATGTTATACATTCATATTGTAATTTAATTTAATTTTTTGATAAAAAAATATTGACTTTTAATTAATTAAAAATTAGTATTACCAATGATGCTTTTGTTTTCCCTTGATATTTTAGGATTTAAGAAATCACTAATGTTCATAATCATACATATTTTATTTTTCTTATTTGTATGATAACCCTTTGATTAAATTACAAGAGAATGACAAGAATCTCATTTCATCAACATTAATTAGTTAAATTTTCTCGGTTGCTATAGTTACTAGATAGTAAAATTAATCTTGTAATTAATAAAACAAATGGTTGATAAAAAAAAACTCTAATATAAGGAATTTTTTAGTATAATAAAAAAAAGTAGTGGAATGTTAGTGTTTAAAAGTCAAGAAACATCAAAAACTTTTTTTTCTTTCAAATGCAATAAAAAAGAACTTGACTTGGTCATAAAAAAAAAATATATATCAAACTCATTAAAAACTATGAAATGAGTTTATTATTAGATAAAAACTATATATATAAAAAAAATTATATCTAAACAATTCATCAATTTATTTTTTAAATCTCTCAAACCTAAAAATAAAAAATAAAAAAATCTTACCAAAAAACTCAATAGTTAACCGAGTGTTAAGTTAGAGGTTAACTATTGAGTGTTTTGGTAAGAAAAATATTATTTTGGACTTAAGAGATTTAAGAATAAATTATTGGGTTTCTTGGATATAAGATTTTTTTAGATGGTTTTTCTAGTAATTATCCCTAAAATTTTCCCATCCTAAAAAAAAAAAAAAAAAAAAAAAAGCCAAGTTCAAATTTCCCTTTACCCCAATAAAAATAAAAAATCACCAACCAACATCCCAAGCTGTACCGGGTGCCAATTACCTCTTGTGATGGCGTTCCTGCTGCCAATAACTGCCAAATACTTATTCGGACTGATTGACTTGGATTTGATTATCCTATTTGTGCAAGTAGGATTGATACATCCAATTACGCAAGACAGCGACATAAAATATGTTCATTACATAAAGGCTGCAATGACATAACCTTTTTTAACGACAACCATATGTAACATAATGCATTCTAAGTCATAGCCAACATATACCCCTGTCTTGTTCCTGGAGGTCGATCCACATTCATGTGGTCTTCCTTCGTAATGTCGCTTAAACAATATTATGTCACGTCATATTTTAAGCATTTTTCTGAACTCCGTATTTTAAGCTGATACCTTACCTACCCACTGCCAACAACGACACATGAGGCTGGATGGATTCTTATAGTTTTTGCAGCTTTTAATTGTTGTTGACTAACGATTACAGTAAACCTTTGTTTGAGGTGGTACAATGCATATCAGGTTTGACTTGGACAAAGGGGCTACCTGGCTAATGGATCAGCCTGAACCCAAGAGTTTGTAGCCTGGCCCATTAGGAAACAGTGTCAAATAAACAATGGCCCAGAAAACAGAGCAAGGTAGTTGAAACGAGTAGCCAGAGATATGTCGGTACATGTACACACGCTCCATTTTACCGCTCCAACGAACTTGTTACATTGATAAAACTACATTATGATGCAATTTCCAAATTACAGTTCACAGGTATTCACTCAAAAGCAGTACTAAAGTAGGTCTTAGCAACGTTATTACATAGGATTTGCTGCACCTTGCTGTTCATGGGCCCAACACAACGAGGCGTTTTAAACTGGCTAACAACAGTCCCTAATCCTAGGCAATGCTCCAGAATCTTCTGGAAGGTTCCTCTCCGAACAACTCGGAGCTCAAGGGGTCCAATGGCTTTCACCTTTCGTGAACTGACGTAGCCTGCATCAACAAAGGACCGGTCCAAGCAATTGCAACATTCCTTTAACACCTCCTCGCTTGGTTCACCACTAATTTCCAAAAAGATGACATAGTGGCCAGGGTCTGTGGATACATCAACCAGGCTGCTGAAGTCAACTACTTCAACTTTTTCCTCAGCTAACAGTTTGCCAGCTTCTTCTACAGATAGCTGCAAATCGTTCTCAGTGTTCTTGTCAATGTTTATAGAAAGAATAAGGTTCCTCCTGCACACAAATTTAAGTTCTGGGGTTGAGTTATGGAAGCCCATTACCCTCACCACATCTCCTAGCCTGTACCTGTACAAACCTGCAGTTTACCATCAACATCAGAATTAAATGAAAAAACTGTCACGATTTGAACACAAACTTTATTTTCAATCATATCAAATAATATATGCCACATGTACATTGAATAATTCAATTTGCTATTTTAGAAAAAAGATCACGATTCACAAATAACAAATACTTGCAGATCCAGGTGTTATTTTTCCCCTTCCAATGGTCTTTTCAGGGCAAAAGACCTTTCTATCGATCGGGACTGTATTATTTTTATAACCAATGACCTAAGCAACTTTTGTTTTCCTGGGCCCGGTTTTAACTTCTCCTGCACGCTACAAGACTAAAGACAAAAAAATATCACTTAAGCAGATAACTATTCTTATTTTTGCTATGTCATGTGAAGTGAAAGTGCATATGCTTCCATATAATAATTTTATAACCATGACATTATCTTGGAAGTATGTTTGCCTTTTTTATTATATTGTACATTGACATATAACAACCAAAAAATTACTTCTGCAATCTACTATGTTTAATTTTGTAGATGTACTCTATTGTCAAGAGACCGCCAATGGATAAACATGTATTTACTCTAATCTGAATATAAATGATTTTTACCCTCATTCTATCCTCAAGATGGAGGTTCAATAGTCACCAAAAAAACTTACAGAAGGCGCAGTTGAATTTGCCTATTACCCAATAAGAAATGAAGATAAAGGATATTAGGAACAAAACATAAATTAAAGCATTCATAAGAGGGTTGAAATGCCAAATATTGTTGAAAAGAGAAGCATTATTAGATTACGTAACAATGGCAGTTTTGCAACATCACAAAAAAGCAATCTTTCTTTCATAGAACTACCAATGTATCTGCAAATACACACTCAACAAGCACATTTTTTTATGGAAGTCTTTAGTTCTAGAAAACCAACATGTAGCAGTACACATGGGCTTTCCTGCAAAAAGATAGATATTGCTTCTATTGGTGTGCCACACATGGGGAACCTTGCATTAAAGATGCCAGTGAAACCTATTGAAAAATCTACGCCTGGAGGATTTCCCTAGCATGTCTAATAAAACCCCCTCAATAAAAAAAGATAGGAGTATCCAGTAAACAAAGGTGTCCACAAACTGTTCCCTCTAAAACAAAGTTTATCAAGCATCAACAAACGGGCCCATGCATCAAAGCCAGCTGGATCAGTCAAGTCAAATAGTTCCTGTTGCCATTGGTGACTCTAGACAAGCAAAATTAACAATTGAAGAACATGGCAGCGTGGAGAAACGAAATATTTTGTCAGGATAGAAGCTGTGGTTTTTCAAGGCTAGTACACTCAAAATACGAGCAGTAATTGAAAGTTAGGTGAGCAGATTCCTATTAAATGGCCTCTACAAAGAAGACAAGAGAAAGTGCCCACCAAAGGCTAAAAGCATCGACAGATAAAACAAACCTTCTGTACTTGTGAATTAAAAAATTGTTGACAAAATATAGAAGATGGGGCTGTTAGCCTGTTCTGGATAGGCCATATAATGGACTGGAGTTTTAATCAGTATGTTATGTCAGCTTTGTAGAATGCAGCAAGCAATCCTCAACCCCCAATAAATAATTTCAAAGAAAAATTAATCTAGAAAGGGAAAATTTCGTGTACCTGCAAAATTGGTGACAATGATCTCATAATCCTCACCAATCTTGACTTCAGTCAGACCCACTGGCTCGGGCTCCATATACATGCACTCAGAGTCATTTTTAAGGGGAATGAATTCAAAATATCCAATATTAGGAAGGACGGCAAAAGTAGCCAACTCAGGAGGCAAATTTGGATTGACATTCGCTGCAATCCACCCTTCTGAAGAACCATAATCAGCACTCATCAATGGCAGCTGCCCTGCATAGTGCCTCAATTTCTTCAAATAAGGCTCCATTGACCCGGTCATAATCCCATAGATGTACTTAGCATTGGGGAAAAGTTCGGGTATTAATCCATACCAATTACTCAATCCTGAGCATTTTTTATTTATCAAATCTGCCAATTCAGGGTTTGGTTTAAGCAGTTTTGACATTGCCATTCTAACGGAAGGGGCAGTAACTCGGCTGCTTAGTTCACCATCACGTATATCATTGCAGAGTTCCTCCCATACTTGTTCAAAGGTCCGGAATGCAAGGACAAGACTGTGAGCAAATGTAGAGAACACAAACTGAATTTCTTCGCGAACGAGTAGCCCGCATAAGAGATGGCAGTATAATGACTGCTGGAAATCAGGACCAAATATTACTTCATCAGGGCTGCAGCATTGGAACTGAATTGCCTTCATTCCACTTTTGTATTTCGAATTGCGGAAGAGATTTGTTGTGGCAGTTCCTGCACCTAAACCCCCTTTTGTTTTCCCTGGCTTGCTGCTGTAGACAAATTGCAATGACTTTCCCCTCTCAAGTGGGAATTCTCTGCATTATACAATCCTCCTCGCGTCAACAGAAAACTAATCAACTAGCAACCAACCCTTCCTTTTTTAATCGTGTAAACAATAGATAACAGAATCATATTATCCAACAAGGTAATATCATCTTCCAGCAGATGGCAAAAATTTACTCTAAAATGAAGGAGACAAAAATGCTCTTCTAATAAAATATAGTAATTCCTTTGCCAATACCTGTTTCTGAAAGCAAAAGAAGTTCTGTATATCTGCAATGTGTTTTCCATCAATTCATCATTGAAAGGTACAAACTTTCTCTTCCCCTGAGTAGTACCAGAACTGTAACAATTCAAATTTCTCAAAATTAGAAACATTTGCTGACAAGAATCCATAAATAATTAATTGAAATCATGAAATATAGACACCTCAAAGACATGTCTGCTATGGGTTTCCCAGTGAGAATAGGAGAAGGATCACCATCAGCAATTCTGTGAATATAAGCTTCCAAGTCTTTGTGAGTAACAAGTGGAACACAAGACTTGAAACCCTCAGGGTCAGTCCTTCCATTAAGACCCAAATTCAGCAAATACTCAGCAGATCCATTCTCTTCCAAAATCTTCTTCAGGGTTTCTCTCTGAACCCTTCCAGCATCTTTAGTCAATGCTTCAAATTCCTCTATCACTTTAACAGTGTCAATTCCTTCCATCGTTTTCTCTAACATCCTCACTAAGCCTTTTGAAAACTGCAATCAAAACATCAAAAACAAAGAAGCAAATCTGTTTTAGCAGTTTATACAAAAAAGGATCACTGATCAAGCTTGTACAATTAATATTATTATGGAATAAAACGACAAAGAAGGTTGGTTAATTAGGACTTGCAAATAAAACCATGAGAGTATATACAAACTAAACAAGGGTAAAAAAGACAAAAGCTATGCCACATTCATTTAACCAAAGATGCTTGAATGTGCAGTGTTTTTAGTACAACGTTCGGTAGCATAAAAAGCCATTGACAAAAACGGGATTCAGTACATTGAATCTTTCAAATGCTACCATTTTGTGTTCCAGTAAATCAAAAATCTCCAGTAAACGTAACTTCCAGTTACTCTCAAATCTCAAGTCTCGAACAAACCCCAGCCAAAACAAAACAAAAAAAAAAAAAGAGCAGAAAAGTCAAAATTTTAGTTTCTTCTCTTTGCCTCAAGTTTTTACTCTGCAAATTCAATAAAGAGAAAACACAGAGGAACTCAAAGACTGACTACGAAGAGATATAGAAAAGAGAGTCAAAATCTATAACCAGCAGCAGCTTTTTGAAGGAGATAAGATTCACCGAAATAAGTATAAAGCTTTTGATCTTCTTTTTGACGATAGTCAACTATTTGGTCAACTTTCGGAAATTTCCGGGAACACGTTTCATTCATTAATTGCCAGGAAACAAATGGAAAGAAAATACATATACAAATGAGTGCAAGTTCCTATAGTGTTTCCTGGTACAAAGGATACGTAACAGAAAACCCAAAAAAAAAAATTTGTAAAAGACCAAAAAAGAAAGAAAAAATTAACGGCAAAAGAATACAAAAATAACAACGGCCAAAGCCATAGGTCTTTTTATGATTGCAAAAGTGAAAAAACAGTGTCAAGATTCAAGACAACATGAAGACCAAATAATCATAAGAAAAAAATGAAATGAAGCAGCAGCGGCGGCGGCGGCGGCGGGAATCAGAAGAGAGAATATACCTTTGACAGAGAAACGGTTGGTTATTATTAAGGGAAGGGAAACAAGTGAGAAGAGGGAGAAATAGTGGATGTCGTTACTGTTTCACCGAATTCTATGCTATCTTTATTTTTCTTTCCGTCACTCTGCTGCTGCAAGTGTTAAAAAGCCATATGAGAGAAAGAAAGATTTGGGTTATGGCAAATTGGTTAAGGAAATGAAAGGATTTGTGTGAGAGAGTGCGCGTGTGTTTGTTTTTGGGAGTTTTGATGAGCAGAAGATTCTGTCTCGGGTCTCTTTTATAGGCAATTACTATTCTCTGATATGCCTGCTTTCCTCAACTGCCTTCCACCTTTTACTATTTCTTATTCCCATCATCACCTTGACTTTTCTGTTATATTGCGGGAAAAACCAGTGGCTTGGACCTGCGTGCGTGTGAAATGACGATTATGGGCTTGGTGAAGTTGTGGAACTTCTTGCCATTTCTGGAATTATTGGCTGGTGTCAGACAAAGATGGATTTATTCATAATTCTAATGCTGATTTTAAATTGCGTCCAAACCAAAAGGCAAGATTCTAATTTCTTAAGGAAAAACAATGAATTTTGAAGATGATTATTATCTTTATTTTTATTTTTATTTTTGTTCTCTCTGAAGATTTCAATTCTGTAAGTCCTATTGTCTCGTCAAAAGCTACCGTGGAATCACTTAAGATTTCTCTTTCTGAGAAAATTTTGTATAATATGTGGCTATCAGACATTTAAAAAACTTCTAAAAAATGTGATGTGCCAAAGAGAAAAAGAATTTTAAAAAAATTTGAAGTCACCAACTAATATTAAAAAAACCAAAATTTTTTAAAAAATATTAGATTCAGATATTTTAGTTAAGGAATTAATTATGTCTATGAGAATATAACAATCACTCAAAATCATTTTTTTTTAAAGAAAAAGTACTAAATTTAGTCTAACCCTACGAATATATTCTTAAAAATTATGTTTTTTTCAAATTATTTTCTAAGTTTTTTTCTTTTCAAACTTAAGTATCATCTAAGTCAAATTATTTTTTTATATTTTTTATTTTGGCATCGTATTAAATTGACGAAGGACCCTAAGTTTGGAAGTCATGCCAAATTTAATCGTAATTTAATATCGGATCTAACTATGTTCGACATGATCGGCATGTCGAGGAATAATCTAATTAACTAAAAGTATTTTATTTGAATGTGGACGAGAAAATATTTTTAAAATTAATTCTTTTATTTTTTATGATAACATCGTATTAAATTTGACTTTGGGCTTCAAAATTAAAAATCATGTCAATTTAGCATCGGATTCAATTACTTCCTGACTATGTTTAGAAACGATCTAAGTAGCTTGGACCTATGACGCATGTGAAATGACGATTATGGGCTTGGTGAAGTTGTGGAATTTCTTGCCATTTCTGGAATTATTGGTTGGTGTCGGCCAAAGATGGATTTATTCATAATTCTAATGCTGATTTTAAAGCGGGTCCAAACCAAAAGGCAAGATTCTAATTTCTCAAGGAAAAACAACGAATTTTGATGAATATTATTATTATTATTTTGTTCTTTTTGAAGATTTTGATTCTGTAAGTTCTCTTCCCTTTTCAATTGCTACCGTCAGATCACTTTAGATTTCTCCTTTTGAGAAAATTTTATCTAACGTGTGGCTATCAAACATTTAAAAAACTTTTAAAAATGTGATGTTTTAAAGAGAAAAAAAATTAAGAAAAAAATTTGGAATCATCTCCTAATATCAAAGCAAATTATAAAATCTAAAAAAACAATGAATTCAGATATTTTAGTTAAGGAATATTTTATACCTTTAAGAAGATAAAAATCACTCAAAAGCATCTTTTATGAGAAAAAAAAATACCAAGTTTAGTCTAATTCTATGAATATCTCTTAAAAATTATGTTTTTTTTTCAAATTATTTTCGAAGTCTATTTTCAGACTTAATTATCATTTAAGTCAAATTATTTTTTATTATGGCTTCGTATTAAATTGACGACGCACCTCGTGGTTGGAAGTTACATCAATTTAACATCGAATCTAATTATGTTCGACATGATTGACATGTCGAGGAACAACTGCGTTAACTAAATGTATTTTATTTGTATGTGAATGACAAAATATTTTCAAAATTATTTCGTTTATTTTTTATGATGACATCGTATTAAGTTTGACGTCGAGCTTCAAGATTGAGAGTTGCATCAATTTAGCGTCGAATCTAATTACGTCCTAACATGACGGGTATATCTAGAAATGATCTAATTAGCTAAATGTGTTTAGAGTGATTTTGTATTGGTCCGAGCTAATTCTCTTCCTTTTATTTATTTTTTTTTTTTATTGTTGACCGAGACCAACATCGATCCTTATTCAAATAGAAGACTCATTAGGTTAACCTATATATTTTTTAATTATCTTAAGAAGGCGTATTTTCTTTTATTAACTACATGAATTCGATGAGGGATCGTCATCGACCCTTAGAATCTAGGAGACTTGATGATCTCTTATCTTTTTAAATAAACAATAAACATATTACACCATAATTATAATAATAACACAATTGAAAAAAATACAAATAAATAGCAAATAAACTTCAAAAATTATGAAAATTAAAATACAAATCAAGAACCAGCATAGGTACAAACCTCACAAAATTTGGATTAAAATAACAAAAGATACCGAGCTTAAAATTTAAATTCCGAAACAAATCACATTAGTAATTAAAATAACGATCGAATGATAAATAAATAACAAATGAACTCAAAAAATTATGAAAATTAAAATAAAAGATATGGACAAACATATATACAAACCCTAAGAGTTTCATATTAAAAGGTTAAATGGTACTGGAATTAAAAATCAACTACCAAAATAAAACACTTTGACAATTAAGATAAATGGAAGAAAAATAATAAATAGTAAATGGATTCATAAAATTATGAAAATTAAAACACAAAATATGGAAAAACATATATACAAATCCTAGGAGTTTTAGATTAAAATATTAAAAGATACTAGAATTAAAAATCAACTATTGAAATAAGACATATTAATAAGCTGAGATAAATGAAAAAAATTATAAATAGTAAATAAATAATAAACAAACTCATCAAATTATGAAACTTAACACACGAGATATGAACAAATCTATGTACAAATCATAATAATTTTAGATTAAAATAATAAAAGATGCTAGAATTAAAAAATCAACTTTTGAAATAAAACACATTAATAATTAGACAACTCTACCTAAAATGATAAATTAAATTAGGTAACTCTACCTATAAAAAATGATCGTTGGAAAATTTTACCTAAAACGATGAACTAAATTAAATAACTTTGTCTAAAATAAAAAATGATCAACTGGACAACTTTGCCAAAAAACAATGAATTAAATTAGGCAACTCTACCTAAATGAGAAATGATGGATAGACAAATTGTCTAAAATGATGAACTAAATTAGGCGACTCGCCTAAAATAAAAAACGATTGCTAGATAATCTTGCCTAGAACGATGAACTAAATTAGGCAATTCTACCTAAAATGAAAAACAATCACTAGGCAACATTGTCTAAAATGATAAACTAAATTCGACAACTTTATCTAAAATGATTGCTAGGTAATCTTACCTAAAATGATGAACCAATTTAAGTAACTCTGCCTAAAATAAAAAGTGATCGCTAGGCAATTTTGTCTAAAATAATAAACTAAATTAGAAAACTCTACCAAAAATAAAAATGATTGTTGGGTGAGTTTACCTAAAATGATGAATAAAATTTGACAACTATATCTAAAATGGTCGTTAGACAATCTTGTCTAAAATAACGAACTAAGTCGGACAACTCTAACTAAAATAAAAAGTGATCGTTAGGCAACATTGCCTAAAATGATGAACTAAATTAGGCAATTCTACAAAAAATAAAAAATAATCACTAGGTAATTTTGCCTTAAATGATGAACTAAATTAGATAATTCTGCTAAGA